GTACCTAATATGTCAAAAGGGATTTGTGGATGTAATTAAATAAGGATTTTTCAAATGGGAAGGTGATCCTGGATCATGAAGGTGGACACAGTGTCATCACAGGAATCTTATGAGAAGAGGACAAAAAGGTCAGAGGAGGGAGGAGATTTGAGGATGGAGGCAAGAGGTTGGAGTGATGTGAAGGAAGGGGCCGGGAGCCAAGGAAAGCAGGCAGCCTCTAGAAGCTCAAAAAGACAAGGGGACACCCGCTGCCCCACACCCCCACATCCCGGTTTATGATTTGAACTTTTAACCCTCTTTCTGAGTTTCTGAGATCTTTTGCCTATGTTGAATGTTAGAACTGGCTTAAGCTTAAGTGTAAGTTAAATTTGATTGTAAACGTGATTCATTAGTGTCCAGTTAAGTGTAATTAATGTGCATAAGCATGCCTTTAACATGGCTGTCATGTTTGCAAAGTTGTTCCCATATTGTAGGTCCCAACCCATTTTCAAAAAAAGAAAGGACACAATGAAGGGAAGAAGGTGAGACTCAACAGAATAGAGGCGAACACTTCACAGTGCTGTCCTGCAGTAGTTAGCATATTGTATCATGAAACTTTTATTTCACTTGTAAATGTGTGCTGTGTGAAATATTTCCCAAACCCTCCAGAATTTAGTATGTATTTGCTTAGTGTCTGAAAGGGGCTGAAGCTTTCACATTAAAAAGTATCATTAAAATTGTTATAAAATGTACTTGAGAAGAGTATTCATACTTAGGTTTAGTTTGTTTTAAATAAAAATTTTCTTTGTTGCTCCAAGACAAGTTTTGTTAAAATTAGTAAGAATGTGGCTAATTTTTGAAGCCAAGATTAAGGCTTATTGAAAGCCCCTGTTTGTTACTAGCTGGAATGCTGGGTGTAGGCTGGTGTGGCTCATACTTGGGATGGAGCCTGAGAGGCATGTTTTTACCCTCAACAAACATCATCTTTGTTTGAGTATCTGTAGTCTGTGTAACCACAGCAAGGTCTTTTTTCTCCCTTAGACTATATCTCAGACCTTTTCTTTCTTGTGTTTGTTTCACAAATAGTTTAAAGTAGAGCTGCCTTCCACACTTGTGTTTCAGTTTGTTGCAGAATATGTGAGGAACTGCCTAACACTGTTGGTGTGCTTGCAACTGAAAAGCAGTAATGGAGTCTTGGTGTAGATAAATTTACTCTATGAGGACTGAAGCTGTTGTTAATTCCCAGGGCCAGACTGGTTATCTAACAAAGGGTAAAGTACTTTTTATGTTAAAATATATATTTATTTAACATTCATCTGTCAAAATATATAGTAGGAAAAATGGTCTGTCAATTTTGTGTCATTGGATTGAATTTAAAATTTAAAACCTTTGAATGAATTGTTCATTACAGTCTGGGGCTATTACAGTTCAAGTGGATGCTTTATTCTTAAAAGTTCTTATGTTTATATGGAATTAGAGGTGTTCGTAAAATGCTGTCGCTATTTTCTTCTGTACATTTGTGCCCCGAGATGTTTTATATGTACTTGAGTTTTTAATCCAAATGTCTTTTGATCCTTCACTGCTTAAAATGTGCCTCTTATACTTTGAGACTTTCTAATATTAGATGGAATCAGTTAAAATAATTGGATTGAATTTGAGTTGAGTGTTGCGATAGGCTGCTTGTAGGATGAGGTGCGGTTAAGCGCCCAGGCCTGCGCAGTTGTGTAACGGTTGCCTGGAAGCCGGTGCACAGTTGCACACACAGGACAGCTGTGACGCCCTCCGTGGTCAGTGTTTTTAGGGCAGACGCTTTGTCCTGCAGTGGAATTTCTAAATAAGCAATCAGAACAAAGCCACAGGGATTATTCTACTATAATTTTTAATAAACTTCTCAGCCGTAGATAAGACAGTGTGAAGCATAATTTATGTGAATTCTGCATAAGGACACTACTTACTGGAAAGATGATTGCCTTAAATGATGTCTCTAAACTCAGTGTCGAGAAAGATTGGCATTTAGTCTCTTCAAAGAAGCAGGTTTGGCTATATTTTATAAGAGAAGTTTGACTTTAAATCTGTTCTTTTTTACATTTATTAATAACAGATTTTTCTCCTTGTGGGGAAATAACAAGAGCTTTCTAAAGGAATTTAAGACTAGCACTTACTTGATTCAGAGTCAACTACGCTAATCATTTTGATCATTTTTCTCCCATAACATTAGAGCACAGTTTCATCCAGTTCCAGTACAGCCTCTATTATTGGCTAGGTTTTCCTTTCTAGAAATTTCTAGACAGGAGATGGATCCATGTAAAGCATAGTATCTTGCATTTTGCCACAAAGATGCTTTTTGGGGATATTTTATATCTTCATTTCCCAGCTCTATACTGTTTCCAGATCTTACCTTTATACTTTTATTAAACTTTTCATTGTTAGAAATATAGTTGAGATTCCTAGGGCTAGTAGCAGAAATAAAGGACTGGTATAAAATACTTCAAGAACGCCCTCATTTATTGAATTTTGCCCAGTTACCATAGAAATTCATGCTTATCTGTTCTGATACTGGAAATGGAATTTATTGTGTGGTCAGGGTTCCTGAGTTTAATTTCTGTTCATTTGCTTCCCCTGCCCTTTTGGTAGGTGTATGAATGCAATGTGTTAAAACTGGGTAAAGGAAGAGGGGGAAAGGAGTTGAGGAGGGTCCCTAAGTCTAAAATAAGATAATTCATATGTGTGATTGAGCTGAGTAGCCCAGACTGCTTACTGCATCACGTGTGTGCCAAGTCGCTTCAGTCACAGCCAACTCTTTGCGACCCTATGGGCTGTAGCCCGCCAGGCTCCTCTGTCCATAGGATGCTCCAGGGAAGAATACTGGAGTGGGTTGCCATGCCCTCCTTCAGGGGATGTTCTTGACCCAGGGATGGAACCTGCATCTCTTATGTCTCCTGCGTTGGCAGGTGGACTCTTTGCCACTAGTGCCACCTGGGATGCATTAGTTTACTGAAAATCTGAACGACTGATCTATATTTTTTTGTTATTTTATCGGACCATTGTGTTATTCACATTTCCCTCAAAGGTTTGCAATTGACACTTTGAGAAAAGCAGTGGCATAAACACTTTTTCCCCCAAATAAGCTATAAGAAATTGACAAATTTCCGTTGTGCTATTTTTACTATTATAAACAACCTTGTGATTATCTCCTTGTCATAAATTCCTAGAGGTGGAACTGTTGGGTAAAGGAGATGCCTGTTTTGCAGATTTTTGATATGTTTTATCAAGATGCTTTCCAGAAAGAGTTGATACATTTGTGAGTCCACCGAGTGTCGGTAAGGGCACATCTCCCCACACTGTATGGAGACTGAGTAATAGTGCATTTTGGGGTCAGTCTGAGATAGGTGCAAAGTGGTATTTTAAAACTTGCATTTCTTTAGTTTCTGATGACTTGATTCCCCCTGCCCTGCATGTCTTGGCTTTTAAAATTAGCTTTTATTTTTGTCAGAACTTTACTTGGTGTAAAGATTTAGGATCTGTAAACTTATTTTGAAAAATAAGCTCACTTCCATACCCCTCCCCACCCGGCTGCCCACCCGTAGAAGTAACTGCTCTCCAGTCCCAGCTGATTGATTTTCTATTTACTTCCAAAGCACTAGATAACATGCCTATGTTGCCACTTCCTGTTCTGCAGATTTAGTCATTATCTCATGATTTCCTGCTTTGGAGGTTGAGGATCGGGTTTGCTTCCCTGCACTCAGCCTCTTACATACACACATGCCTCCCTTCAACTCCTGGGAACTTGACTTCTTTAGTCAACTGCTTGTCTTCAGCCCCACCCTCACTTCTTCCCTGGAACCTCCATTGCCTTGCCACTGAGGGCAAGGATTTAAAGAATCCCCATGTTGTCAGTTTAGTGGGGTTTTAGGAAGAATGAATATAAAAGTGTGTGTTCCATCTGCCATTTTTCACTGGACATCCTTTTTTGCGTCTTTTAATGATCATTTAATAGAGTAATGGTTAAAATTATGGTCTAAATCCTACCATTGCTGTTTACTAGCTGTATGACCTTAGACAAGTTGGTTAAAATTTTTAAACCTTGTTTTTTTTTTTTTTTCTTTTCCCATCTGTGTAACAGAATTAACAGGATAAAGCCCAGAATTAAGTGTGATAAGGCATGTAAGATCGCTGCTGGCAGGATCTTACTGTCTGCCGGGCACTTCCTGAGAACGGGTCGTCTCTGCTGTTGTTACTCCTGTGAATGTCTTGCTCATGACCTTTGCCTGGTTTCCACTAGAATGCTTGTCTTCCTTCTTGACCAGAGGTGCCTTTTATCCAGCCGGCTTTTAATTTATGGGATTTGGGTGTGTAATCATATCCATACTGTTTCATATTTTTATCTCTACTCATCGTCAGACTTATGTTTTTGAAAGATAACATAATGGATAATAAGAAAGAAGGGTGTGTGTTGTGGTAAAAGTGCACATTATGATAATAGTTGAGACAGTTGATAAGGGGGACCTCAGAGGCTAAATGTAAAGAAATGATTATATTCATCATGTCAGAGAAATATTTTTTTAAACCCTTAAACTCTATCTTGCACTAGTTTATTTTGTGAGTAAATTACCTAAAATTTTAAAAGCCTTCTTAAATGCTCTTCTCATCACCTACCCAGGTGGATTTCATCTGAAAACTTAGAACTCTTATTTCCAGTTTCTACTTTCTTATTTCTATGAAATTAGATACAAATATAACTCTTGAGGGGTAACATTTACATATCCCTAAGTGAATGCTGTGTTAACAGATTTGCTTTCTTTTGAGGGTGGTATGTAATATCGAAATAGTAGATATGTAGATATTTCAAAGTTGTAGTTACGGATACTTAACTCATCCTTGTAAGTTTATTTGTTTTTTGCTGGTTTGTCATTTTAGGCAGCATCAATTTATTGTTTTATTTTCATTCATTTTATCTTAGTTTTATGATTAACTTTATAAATCTTTAAACAACAGTTCACTGAAATTTGATCTCTCCACAGATTCAAACCAGGATGTAGCACTTAAACTTGCCCAGGAGCGAGCTGAAATAGTTGCTAAATATGACAGAGTAAGTATTCATCATTACTCTTTAAGTAATTTTTATTTTCAAAAATATAAATAGAAGTGGATTTGCTTTTTGGAGGGCTTAAATTGCAGCGGCAGTTTGTTTGTTTCGCATGACTGTTGAAGTCATCTAATTTCTCTGACTTTGTCTCCGTACTTTCTCTCCCTCCTCCCCTCTTCTCTAGCCACGCTGGCCGCCTGTCATTCTCCCAGGCTTGCTCCTGTCTCAGGGCCTTTGCACAGGCTGTTTCTTCTGCCTGGAGCACTTGTGTGCTGGATGCCCTCATGCCCTTTGGCCTCCTCTTTTTCTTTGCCCTGATGCTCCCAGTGAACTCTTGTTTGATCACACTGTTGAATATCCCCTCCATCCTCTGGCTCTCTCTGTCCCCTTTCTCTTCTTTATTTTTCACCATAGCTTTTAAAAATGTCAGCATGCTTGATTACATTTTGTTGCCTGCCCTCCTTCCTAGAGTGTAAACTCTCCGAGGGTTAGAATTTCTCTTGTTTGATTTGCTCTTATATCCTAAATACCTGCAACAGTTCTGGCTCGTACTAGGTATTCAATAAATGTTTTAATTACATTAGTATATAGAGTTAAATACCCATTTTATTTAATTGAATATGTGATATTGAAAATTGAAAACATGGATCTGAAATTTGAATTGGTACATGATGTATAATCTCTAGCTTTTTATCCTTAAGTTAGTTGTGGAATCTGGTTTTTGATGCCCCAGAATATCACAATTGCTGACGATTTACATATGTCCTTATTAGTACCTTTTATCTCTTGAGATCTATAATGAGTTGTAGCTGTGATCTATAAATGTCATGTTTTATATTTATATTGGTTGCATGTAGTTTTGTATCTGTTATTTTTGATGATTTGTGAGAATAACAGGAACATGAAATTATAGAAGGCCATCTGGACTGTGCCCTACAGGAACATGGAGGCAGGGCTCAACTTAACAATCTGTTCCCAGAGTTTGTTTTTAAGTTGCTTGTTTGACACATCAGACACAGTTTCCTATTATTATGACTAGGTTTTAGCATATTCTGCAAGAAACCTAATTAATTTATTTAATTGCTTGACTAATTTAAAACCAATACAACCGTCATTCATTCATGCTTGCGTGCATTTTTTCCTGCAGTTAACACTCAGCGACCAGGTCAGGTGTCATGCTAGGCCTTGGGGAGTCAGTGTACAAATATGAATTACAGGAGGGCTTTGCCCACAAGGCTCTCCTGGCCTTCGTGGAGCAGAACGCGTGAGCTGACTGACTGTTGTGAATACCCTCAGGTGGAGGCTCCATGAGACAGTCAGGTACAGAGTGTGAAGTGGGAGGGATGGAATAGACCCTCTGGGGCTCCTGCTCTCAGCAGTGCTGGTTCACCGCTCAGGAGGGGCGTGTGATGGGCAGTGGGCCGAGGACAGAGCGCTGGGCCCACCAGCACTCAGGAAGGACCCACGAGGAAGCCAGCATGGAAGAGTCGGGCAGGGACGGGAGAACCAGGGCCCGGTGAGGCTGCGTGAGCATCACTGAGGGGCGCACTGGAACGGTTCACTCGATGAAGGTGCTGGAGCGTCCGTGGATCTGATGCTGGGAGGCCATTGTGACCTTGGCAAGGATAGTGTTAGGGCCAGTGGAGCAGGGAAGTGGGAAGAAGAGAGGCAAAGTAGGTGGTCTGCTCTTCTGAGAAGTTAGGATGAAAAGGCGACATAGTTTTTTCTAACCCTTGTTTTTTGGTCTTTTTAAGAAATTATTCAGTTTTATACATTCCCAGTAACACTCTTCTTTGTCCCCTTCTATAGGGACGAGAAGGTGCAGAGATTGAACCTTGGGAAGATGCTGATTACCTTGTTTACAAAGTCACGGATAGATTTGGCTTCTTACAGTAAGTTGCATAGTTTGAAAGCTGACTTTTAAAATTATGTTTCTATGGTCACCTATTACATTGATTTTCTTTGTTTTTAACAGCATTGCTGTGATTAAGATTCCAGGATTAGTCCTGCAGCCTGCTTTTCTTTTCTTTTTTTTTTTAAGTTAAATTCCTGGCATTTTTTTAACCTCTATGATTAAAATTGAACTATAGCTAAGAATATAATCTTTAATATTCAGTGTGTTTTAAGAAGAACATTAAGTGCAATGAATGAGTTGTATTAATAATTTAGCAGAATTAAATGGAAATCAATAACAACTTGTATTTCAAAAATAATTATAAGGCATTTTATTTTATATGAATGCATTTAAAAAATAATTAGCAGTCAGAACGTCAGTGTTATGCAGCCTAAAAATGAGCAGTGGAAAGAAATGCCATTGATCTTCCTTACGGTTGGAAGTGTATTTGTGTTATTGCTTCTCAAAATTAATTCCATTTATCCTGAATATGTTGTACAAAGAGTTGAGAAAGGTCTGGAGCACTGTAAAGTAGTTAGAGTGGTTTTGACCCTTGTCCTGCCCTGATAGGAGCCTGCGGGTTCTTGTTCCAGCTTTGTTTAAACAGATTACCCAGGCTGGGGACTCTGCTGCATCTCTATAGTTCGTTTGGTTCCATACAATTTAGTAGTTACCTTTGCCACTTATTCACATTTTCCCCAGTCTCACTTATTATGAAGAGGAAAAAGCCAGGGACTTTTATTTTATGACATATGATTACATTTTGAAGAAAAAATAAAATTTCTTAGGGGGTTCCTAGCCAGTAACTTTGTAGTACTCAGACCTTCTTTTTACTTTCCGTTCCGTTTTCTTGCATTTAGAAAATATTTTGTTGTATCGTGTTTTTCTCAGGGTCTCTCAAGCAAACAGAAAGAGTTCTGGGAGTTAGAGAATGTGTGCTGTTCTCCTGGCTTTGCTGGTCTCAGTTAACTATTTCATGCCTTATCTGTGAAACAGAAATCATTAACTGCCCTGCATACTTAGGGCTACTTGAAGCTTTGAAGAAATAAAGTGACAGAATACCACCTACAGGTCTAGACAAACCTCAGGTGTTATTATGATACCTAATCATATCAGCATATCTTAAATGTTCTCCTGAGTAGTTGTAATTAGAAGACTTTGAATTTCAACAGACCAACAAGGGCAGTCTTTCACGATGATGAAAGTACTATTCTTAAAGGAAACCCCCACTTCCACTTTTTTATAAGTAAATCAGACTTGGCTACAATGTGGCAGGAGGTGATGTTTACCTTTGTGTGGGTTCATGTGCAGATCTGAGGTATGTGAATGCTGTTTGAAGGACACTTTGAGCATTTGGCACCTTCAAGATCAGTGGGTCCCCAAATTTCCTGCATGTTAGAATTAGCTGGAGAATGTTTGTTTGTTTAAATAGATTTCTGGGTTCTATCTCAGATTTTGATTCACAAGGTAGGCTGCAACTCAGCTGATTTTTGACCTCTCCAAGTATTTGTGATGGGAGTGAACCACTCTAAAAGATGTTTTTATCAAAAAATGGTCTAATACAGTACAAAATAACATGAAAAGGGCTTCCGTGGTGGCTCAGAAGGTAGAAGAATCTGCCTGCAATGCGGGAGACCTGGGTTTGATCCCTGGGCGGGGAAGAACCCCTGGAGAAGGGAATGGCAACTGTCTTGCTGTATCTCACTGTGCACACTGTTCGCTGAACCCAGGATAGGCAAGGCGCAAGCTAAGAGGCTGGAAGAAGACTGTATGGAAGGAGCCCTAGAAACTGCAGACACATTTATTCTCTCCTGGCTGATGCAACAGACATAGCATAACCTAACACAACACAGCCTCTCTCCTGGATGACGCAGCAGCCGTAGCAGCAGACATGCTCTATTCTGACCCAATGGACACAGCCATGACGCAGAACTAAATGCTGCTGCCTCCTAGCTCACATATGCACACAGTACCTGCTGACGTGCATGTTCAGTGCCATAGATGATCTCAGCCGTTTCATAGTCATTATTTACAAAATGTGGGGCAAGAGAACCTGAACATGCCATCTTGGCTAATTTGCTCTCTCCCCACAGCAACCCAGTCCGGTATTCTTACCTGGAGAATTCCATGGACAGAGGAAACTGGCAGGCTACAGTCCATGGGGCCCCAAAGGGTTGGACGTGACTGAGCAATTAACACTAACATATATGAAAACCTCTTAACATTCCAAAAGGGCCTGGGAGTTAGCTAAATTCTCTTTCCTCATTGCTTATAACAACTAGGCTCTGGCCCAGAAGCCTAACCTGTATTTGGCAATCTAAAAATCACACTCAGTTATTCCATATTTGTGTTCGCCTCTGTGCTCAGGTCCATTTGTCTCTAGTGGGAAATAGACCAGTGATTTACCTTAATAATAGCTCATATTTATTGAGCACTTACTCTGTGCTGGGCACTGTTCTGAGCTGTCTACATGGATTATTCCTTTCTAAACCTCTTAGACATAGGTACCCTTTTCATCTTTCTTAAGATGAACGGACACACAGAGAGGTCAAACAGCTTGCCCAGGTCCTGCTTGCAGTAAATGTAACTCCAAGGAGCTGACCTTGGCAGCTCACGGCAGAGCCTGAGTTGGGAACTTGTGCGTTCTACTGCCTGTTACTATTACTCCTCTGTAGTTTTAATAAGAGAAACATCACTGAAGCTCTTTGAAATGCCTGGAGGAAAATTAAAGGGGAAAAGAAGAGTGCCTAAGAAGGGGGCCTGTTTGAAATGATTCCTCTACTGAGATGGACGCTTAGATAGTGGTGAGCTCACCCAATCTTTGGAAACAAGGCCGAACCAGTTCTCAGGCCAGCCCACTGAATTTTTTATGTACTCCGTGATGCAAAACTAAAGCAGGCCCCACGAAGGAAAATGATGAACATAGAAACGGGGTTGACTGTGGTGTTGTGCTTTATGGAATTTCATACAAGTATTGATTTTTGTTACGGCGCCTCATTTCAGTGAGACGCTTTGTTCCAAGGTTGCTGCCGGTACTTCTGATCACTGGTCACTGTAGACTGGGGTTTTCTACGCTATTGAATAAAGTCACCTGGCGCAGGCATCTAGACCTTGCTCCCTGTCACACGTTGATCAAAAGAGCATTTCTTGCTGCTGTTTTAGTTCTTTGTAATTTTTGATTGGTTCTATGGTAAACATGGGTTTTAAGTGTCAATATCAATAAAATGGTACAAAGTAACTTTGTAGCCTTCTCTGAAGGCTGCTGACTTCATGACATTTTTTGTAACTTAAATTACTTGTTATATGTGAAGAAGGATGACCATAATTAACACGGCACAGGACTAACTTGGTTTTATAGCAGATTTCACAATAAATATAAAAACTGTTGGCAAACAGGCTTGCTGGTGGAACAGGATCATCTTTGTTTCGTATGCAGAAATGGGGAGCTGTCCCCAGCTATGTGCCTGTGATGGACTTGCATCTGGAGATTGGAGAAGTCCAGCTTATTTAAGAACTTAGAGAACTTTCAGTATTTGAACTTTCAACTTTTTTTTTTTTTTTTTTTCAAAAATAGTCACTGCTCAACAAAGAATGCTTGGTATTTGGATAATGATAGATAATGCTTTTAGGCCACTAGTTATTAATAGAAGAATTACAAGGAAACTTTTTCAAAAAAAGATAAAATTAACACCAAGCCTCAGATTTTCAACCACTTCTTAAAAATGTGTATACATTGTCTGAAGTTTAGTATAACTATATAAATACTTGAAAGCCAGAAAAATGGTGTTTTTGTTAAAGAGTATCTGTTTTAAATACAGGATCTTGAGAACTCACTCCTTCTACCCATCCAGTAATTTTGACTAATTTTGACTAGTTTTAATCTAAGACAAAATTTGCTACAAAATCTGAAGTGAAATTTAGTCAGTATGTTGAGCTAACTGATTTTAACAAGTTAGCTAACTTTTATGTTTACAAATGAAACTTTATCTCATAGTTGCAGAAATACTCCACCTGAGCTATTGATTGAAGAACTACAAGTACATACAATCTAATTAGTAGTTCCTTTAAGCTTACTGGCAGATTGAAAAAACAAATAGATCAGGTAAGGTCCCTGTATTTCCAGCTGTGACTGTAGTTGCTTTTACTTAGTGTGTCTGTACAAGGCACAGCTTCTTGCTGTCAGCTTGGTGGTTTCTTTAAGCAGTCTCTAGGTGCCTCTTCTCATTAGAGGACCAGCCTTTGTTTTCTAAAGCAGGGGTAGGCAGACATTTCCATGAAGACTAGATCTTAAGTACTTCTTGGCTTTGTGAACCATATGGTGATTGTTACAGCTATTGAACTCTACCGCGGTAGCATGAAAAAAATCATAGACAGTACATAAATGAGCATGGTGGTGTTCCATAACATCTTATGGAAAAACCTGAATGAGCTTTTTGGGCAACCCAAAGTGGCTTAAAGACTTGAACATAAGACCTGAAACTGCTAAAAGAAAACTTGCATGGTATGCACTGACTCGATGGACATGAGTTTGAATAAGCTCCAGGAGTTGGTGATGGATAGGGAAGCCTGGTGTGCTGTAGTCCATGGGGTTGCAAAGAGTCAGACACAACTGAGCAACTGAACTGAACTGAAGCTCCTTGTCATTGGTCTTGGTGATGATTTTTTGGATTTGATGCAAAAAGCAAAGTCAAACAAACAAAAAGCAAGTAGAACTACATCAAGGTAAAAACTTTCTGCATAGCAAAGTGAAAGTGAAGTCGCTCAGTTGTGTCTGACTCTTTGCGACCCCATGGACTGTAGCCTACCAGGCTGCTCCCTCCATGGGATTCTCCAGGCAAGAATACTGGAGTGGGTTGCCATTTCCTTAAGGAAACCATGAACAAAATGAAAAGGCAGTCTACTGAATGGGAGAAAAGACTTGCAAATCATATATCTGATAAGGATTAATACCCAAAATATATAAAGAACTTGTATAACTCTAGCCAAAAAAACCCCCCAAACAATCCAAGAATGAGCGGAGGATCTGAATAGATACTTGATGTACAGATGATGAACAAGTCCATGAAAGTGTGTTCAGCATCACTAATCATGAGGCAAATGCCAAGCCAAATCACAGTGCAGTATCATGTTGTTCCTGTTAGAATGGATATCATCAAAGAGACAAGAAGTAAGTTTTGTCAAAGATGTGGAGAAAAGAGAACCCTTGCACACTATTGGTGGAAGTGTAAATTGATGCAGTTGCTATGAAAAATAGTACGGAGGTTTCTCAAAGAAATTGAAAATAGTACTGCCATATGATCCAGCAACTTTACTTTTGAATATGTATCTGAAAGAAATGAAAGCACTAACTCAAAAATATATCTGCATCCACCATGTTCATTGCAGCATTATTCTCAGTAGCCAAGACACAGAAAGAACCTAAATGTCCATCAACTGATAAGTGGAAATGTGGTGTTTATCTACAGTGGAATATTACTCACACATAGAAAAGAAGGAAATTCTACCATTAGCAACAACAGAGATAAACCCTGATGGAACTCTACTAAGTGAAATAAGTCAGAGAAAGACAAATGCTCACTTGTATGTGAAATCTAAAAACAGAAAAACCCAAACTCATCCATATAGAGAACATATTGGTGGTTGCCAGAGGTGGATTCATTCTACAGGATCTGCCTGATGCAGACCATGTAGCCTGAGCAGATGATTCCCATCTTTCCACAGACACATGCAATGCTTGGTTCTGGTTCAGTGTTGATAGCAGGCACAGTTAGGCCTGTTAGTCTTGTCTAGTGAATGGGAGGACGCTGAAGAACTTGACCTGTGGTGGCAGCCAGAGATGGCACTTCATTTGCAGTTAGGAATGTTTAGTGTTAGGTCAGGATATGCTCACGTCAGCCACACAGAAGGTTGCTCTTGCCCCGGCAGCCCACTCACCCCAGAGATACCACTCTTGGTGCACCCAGAAGTTGCCAGATGTTCTTATTCTTTCAAGATGTCCCTGCTGACCTCATCACTTAGCTGGTATGTCCCAGTGATGTTCACAGGCCTTCTGCTGCTAGTCAGTGAAGAATGGATGCGTGCCATTCATTCATCACTGATCCCAGTGATCAGATCACAAATTAGCAGGGAAAGTCAGACTAAGAGCATAACAAAGGCTATTTTAAAAAGGAAAAGAAACAGATGAGTAGCCACTTATAAAAAAGCAACTTCAGAATCTTCAAAATTTCTTTTCTTCTTGAGAATTGATTTCTTAGCCTGTTTTTCATACACTCTTACACAATCTGAAAATAGATACATATCTAAGTTTGAACCCACTGGGTTAGATAATGCTGAACATCTCTGTATTAGGGTAAGTGATGGTGACTGAGTGAAAATGTTAGTTTTCTTATCTGTGAAATGAGGGGTTGTACTAGCTCTCTGAGATCTCTTTCAGCTCTTAACACTTTGTGGTCAGTTTTGTTGCTATAGCTTTATGCTTCACCTAAGAACTCTTCAGAGTAGCAAAAGAACGATTTTGAAAACACTGGACTCTTGTATACTAATGTATTGTGTTCCTAAAAGTGTTATTATCTGGTATGAAGAGAAAGGCAAAAATATGTATAGATCTTGTCAAAACCAGACTTCCTGGTGGCTCAGATGGTAAAGGATCTGCCTGCAATGCGGGAGACCTGGGTTTGATCCCTGGGTTGGGAAGATCCCTTGGAGAAGGGAACAGCTACCCACTCCAGTATTCTGGCCTGGAGAATTCCATGGACAGAGGAGCCTGACAGGCTACAGTCCATGGGGTCACAAAGAGTCGGACATGACTGAGTGACTTCCACTCACTTGTCAAAACATCAATACCACTGATAGAGCAACTCAAAGCACATAACACTGTTTATGGATAGTACAGATAGTTATTTTTACATTACTGACAGTTAATACAAGAGTCTCTGAATGTTTTATAATGAAGGTGATATCACAAAATTACTGTCTCAGAGAAATGGATTTGGTCTTCCATTGTACATTAAAAAGTTATTCTTTTTGAAGTTTTGACAAACGAGGCTTTGCCTGTTTATTCTTAAATCTATGGGAGGCAGTTTTGTTTCCTTATACTAATTGTTTTGAACACTCATTTGTTACGGGCTAGTTTGAGACAAAGAGTGGAGGTGATGGTCTTGGATAGAGGTCGGCAAATGATGGCCTCTGGGCCAAATCCAGCTCTCCACCTGTTTTTGTAAACGTTTTATGGGGATTAAGCCACATCTGGTTTACATGCTGTCAGCATCTGCTTTCACAGTATGACATCAGAGTTGAGTAATTATGAAAAAGACAACACTGTATGGTCCACGAAGCCTAAAATATATGCTGTTCTTGCAGGAAAGTGTTGTTGACCCCTGGACTAGAGCAGTCTTGTCCAGTGGAACTTTCTGCAGCGTTTGTGGAGGTGTTGTCCCCTGTATCCATACTGTTCAGTGTGGTAGCTGAGTTATGGCTTGGGAGGCTGATGGCTGAACTTCTACTTTAACTTCATTTTATTTTACATTTAAAATTAAACAGCCACCTGTGGCTAAAGATGACGAGATTGGGCAGAGCGGGTCTAGAGATTTGAAGACAGGAGATGTGGTTTCAGAATGTTGTTGTTTAAGTCTCTCAGTTGTGTCCGACTCTTTTGCAACCCCATGGAATTGTAGCACTCCAGGCTCCTCTGTCCATGGGACTCTCCAGGCAAAGATACTGGAGTGGGGTTGCCATTCCCTTCTCTAGGGGATCTTCCTGACCCAGGGATCAAACCTACGTCTTCTGCATTGGCAAGCAGATTCCTTAACACTGAGCCACCTGGGAAACCTGTTTATAGAATAGCTCATTGTTTTATGCTGAATGTGGTGGAATGGAAGCTTACATAACTCTTGTGATGACAGGTAGATGGTTGGACATTGTGTGTACCTACAGATTTATAATTTTTTTAAAAAAATTTGCCCTGATTTCAGCTATTTCACACCCATTGTTTTTCCTCTGCAGTGAGGAGGAGCTCCCATATCACAATGCAGCTATGGAACGGGTAAGTCCAGTTCTCTGTTCATTTTTCATTATTGGGGAATTCCGCTCTTCAGAGGAAGAAAAGTTGCCACTTTTGTGATTGAGGGTTCCCTTATTATCTGTCAGTGCTGCTGTCAGCATTAAAATTTGACCCTCCAAATATCACTGTAAGAAAATAGTTAGATTAATGGTGAAACAACTTTAGATTTTATGGAACTTCTGTAGGTACTTGGACGAAAGGAGGGGTGGCCGTTGGCAGAGCCTGCACGGGATGGTGGTTCTCGGGCGAGGCCGCCTCGGGACGTGGGCCTGCTGAGAGCACACGCTCAGGACCCCAGGCCCCTGAGGTGTCATGTTGCCTGGGCACCTCTCCCGCACCACATGGCTCCTTCAGCCCTGGTCCAGACCAGCCGCTCTTGGCAATACAGCTGTGTCACAAGATTTCCTCTGCACCTCCCGCAGATGACTACAAAAAGAGTTTGCTGTAGTCAAATAAGTATGTTTGCATTTTAGACTTAAGTCTTATATATAGTAAACCTGTCCAGTTTTGGTAACTGAGTAGTTCCCCTTTCTCATTGTGCTTGGCTGGGGGCCTGGCTCCACAGCTGGGTGTGCTGACATGTAGGGACTGAGCATTCCGAGTCCCATGGAGTCCCCTCCCCGCCTCCCCATTTTTCTCATCTACCAAAAAATGAACTGTAGGAATTCATGAATGGAGAGGGAGACTGTTGATCAGGGACACTAGTCTGTTCATTTATGTTTATTGGGTAAACGAGGCTGAGTTTCACAAAATGGAGGTAAACTTGGTGCTGGAATTTGAAAAGCATTTTAGGGAATCTAAAATCAAAATCTTCTGAAAATTAATACTGTAGTATAACACTGGATAAAATTGCTACTTTACATATGCCATGTAGAGAACCCTGTAGGTATTTCCTGAGGTTGAATTCTCCACTGACTACCTGATTCTGTTTGTGTCATAACCGTGATGTTTGGGCAAAGGAATTTCTTTTAATAAAGCTGTATTACTGCTTAGCAACAGTGTGTCAGGTGGGGGTCTAGAATCAAGGCAGTGGCCTGGAATATCAGGAAAACATGACGTAGTTTCTGTTTCTGTAATGCTAGCTGCTCGGCAGTGACTGGAGGCAGGCCAGGGGAGACAGTTTAGGGACGTAAACGTGGCTTTCGGGGCCTGGTACTCATGTCATGTGAGGGCAGTGCTGCTGGAGGAGAAAGCTGGTCCCTGTGGCCCTGGGTTGCCGGAGAAGGAAATGATGGTGCAGCGCTTTCTACCAGCTCTGCTCCTGGGGAGCTCCTACCGCTCCACTTGGACGTGGACACACACACAGGGTTTAGCTGGTGTCTCCCCTCTGGCCATCCTCTTTCTGTTAGTGCCCTGACTTGGCTTATCCTTGGACCCCCTGGATCCCATCACTGTTAGGTCTTCAACCCCGTCTCTTCCCACCACAGGGTGGGACCTCCCCTGTCCTGCTTCTTCTGAGCTAGCCTTCCTGCCCCCGCAGCGCCGGAGTGGCTGTGTGCAACCGGGGAAGACTCCCAACCGGGATGAATGGCTTTACATTGCATCCAGGATCTCAAACCTCAGCTGCACGTTTATGCTGCCTGGACTTCACGCCATGCCTTCCTGGTGAATTTCTGCTCCCACTTGAACTAGCGCCCTTTCCTCTTCCCTCTCAAGCCCCCAGTGCCGCTGCCTCTGGCCTTGCTCAGCTGATGCCCTCGCTCGTGCTTCTCACTTCTCCTCTGTACTGTTGCCCCAGGTCCTCAGTTCCCCGCTCCCTCCCACTGTTATGTGGTTGGTTGGCCTCTCACTCTCACATGTTCTCTTTTTTGTGATTAATAATTTATTTTAATTGGTGGCTAATTACTCTACAGTATTGTAGTGGTTTTTGCCATACATTGACATGAATCAGCCATGGGTGTACATGTGTCCCCCATCTTGAACCCCGCTCCCACCTTTCTCCCCATCTCCTCCCTCAGGGTTGTCCCAGTGTCCTGGGACAACTGGTATTGAGTGCCCTGTTTCATGCATTGAACTTGGACTGGTGATCTATTTCACATGTGGTAATTTACATGTTTCAATGCTATTCTCTCAAATCATCCCACCCTCGCCTTCTCCCACGGAGTCCAAAAGTCTGTTCTTTATATCTGTGTCTCTTTTGTTGTCTTGCACATAGGGTCATCGTTACCATCTTTCTAAATTCCATATATATGCATTAATATACTGTGTTGGTGTTTTTCTTTCTGACTTAATTCACTCTGTATAATAGGCTCCAGTTTCATTCACCTCATCAGAACTGATTCAAATATATTCTTTTTATAGCTGAGTAATATTCCACTGTGTATGTGTACCACAGCTTTCTTATCCATTCGTCTGCCGACGGACATCTAGGTTGCTTCCATGTCCTGGCTATTATAAACAGTGCTGCGATGAACATTGGGGTGCACGTGTCTCTTTCAGATCTGGTTTCCTC